AATATTCCAAAGGTAGGAGCAGTTTCCATCAAACAGTAAAAACAAGAGGGCTGCTAGCTTTGGAGTAATTACTGAATAAAATACAGAAGTAGATGTAATTCTGATGCAAATGGTTGACACCTCCAAGTTTTCCCATGAAAAAGGGCCTGAACCATACACTGTATCTCTTCAAGGCAGCCCAAAATCAAACACTGTGTGGAAAAGTTGAAAGCATAAACATAATCTCTAATGCTGGGAAAACATAACACCCAAGCAGACAATTATTGTTGCAGATAGGAAGACCTGGGACAAGGATGCCAATGACACAAATGTGCAAGTACTCCAAAAACTAGAGATTCAGATATAATTCAAAGGTTTGTTGGTGTAGCTGAGCTATAAAACTCTCTGTGAGACCCACTCAAACCATCAAGAGAATTTTTTCCTGTTGGTGTAATTTGGACTAAATAAATGTCTTTGCCCCACAGATTATTTTTTAAATCTACATAACAGTGGATGACATTTGAGTTACAGATTMGGATTTTTATGTCTATTTTTTAGCACATGGGTGGGAGTATTCTTGTGTTCCAAAATTCTTGTGTTGTTGTATCTCAAAATTCTAAATATTGCCCAAGCCTTAGATAAGGAGGTAAGATTTGCTTCCAAARAGCTGGAACTTAATTAATAATTTAGGCAGGAGATAAACTAAGAGAAGAGTCAAGAGCAGAAAAGAGAGATTTATAACAAAAACATGTCTATTAATCTCAGATATATCAGAGACAGAAGGAAGGAAAGCATGGAGAACAGATTTTGAGTTCTGCTTAGAATAGGGTAGCTGGAAGCATTGGTCAGAACTTCCATGAAAGACTGGAGAGGGTGGAAGACTGAAATGAAGAAATCCAGAATGAGTGAAAGGAAAGGAGGATGTGAAATTTCATYGTCAGGAATAAACTAATTTATTCCTGCAGTAGAATTAATTTATTCCTTTCTTCTCTTTCCGAAAGATAATCCCRCAACTAAAAAGGTATTATCAAGTGTACACATGTGAATACAGGAAATTAATATTAAAAAGATCCGGATCAAGTTATTGTTTCCCAGACTGGACTCTCACAACAGACATTAATTACTAGCCTCTGTAGAAGGGATGTTAGAAAAAAAGGGTGAAAGTTGCCCCAGGTATTACTTACTCTCTTCAGTCATTCTCTGCACATAAACTGCTGCTTTACTTAAGGAAACATGGTGCCTGAAATGTTCACTTTGCCAGTCAACCCCAGTAAGTGACTTCCCTTTCCATTAAGGGAAAAATAGTGCCACCATATGAATTTCAATTTGCCCTTTAGCAGTATCCCACCTTTGCCTTTTCTATCCCTTGTTTCTTTTGCAAAGGCTGTATTGCAGATGGAGAGGTGGAAGAAAGCAAAGAATATGTAATGTAATTGCTTCCCATTAATGGTTAGGCCAAGCAATCTCCCTCTAAGTATCCTTCTATCAGATAACAAATGGACCTAACCATTGGTGATGAGAGAAAAATCAATTTGTTTGTAAGTAATGCAAATTTATTATGAAAAATTCTTCTGGAACACTGCAAGCTTCTTCTGTGTCTGTAGACAAATTGGTTACTTATAACTATTGACCTAAAGCAAGAATTTCTGTCTGACAGAACTGTGCTGTGCTAGAAAAGGGCCTGGAACTGAACTTATTTGCAATTCCTTCAGACACTCAGTGGAAAACTTCATCACTCTACTTTTTGGTGTAGAGTGTCTTACCCTACTGCTGAGTAGCTATTCTAGCTGGTGAGTAGAGGAATGTAGTGCATTTGTCTGGGGTAGACAGGATGATATTCCCTCTCCCTGACCATTTGGTTACAGGAGGAGTGGCAGATGAAGAGTCCCTGGCCCTTGTCTCCTCTGTGACTCACAATGTAATGAGAAATGAGTTTAGGAATAAAGGAAATCTTTACTTCTCTTTACCCCCCCATATATATCATAAGCAAAGGTTATGACAATCTAGCCCTAAGAACTTTGGATGAAAACATCTCTGTGAGTCAGCTGTTTGCAAATAGCTCTCTGCCCWCCTTTGCACTTCTCTATGGGTGCTCCGTGCCTGCTTTGCATTCTCATGATTTGCCACCACCACAACCTTCCCCCATTCATAACTGCATGCAGTTAAGGTCTCTGAATCTTTCCAAAAATCTCTCTTTGGAGACCATTTCATTTTAAGGTCCACCATTTCTTTACCCCAGTAGTCAAAACTGTGCTTTTAAAGTTTTGATTGTAAAATATCAGCTGTTTTGTCTCCCATTAATGATCTGCAGTTTATGCCAAAGCTATCATTGTTGAAAATATACTTTTTATATGTAATGTATTTATGCAGTCAAAAGTCTCACACTTCTAGACTTTTACAAGACATTCAGGCAAAACACTGTTAAGGTTCTAATTTTGCTTTCTGCCCACCACTTCTTTTCCTTTGTTGTTGTTGAAGCTGTTGAAATGCCACAGTTTAAGCAGACCCAGTTGCTAAATATAAATTCTTTCTTGGTTCATTTTCTTGCAATATAGCTACTTTCTTTTTTCACASGGATTGACTCACTTCTGTCACAGTGTTCCGGGATAAAATCCCACACAGTGTGGCATTCAGACTTCATTCTTGATACTAGCACTCTCATCACCCGAAAGTAGAGACTTACTTCCTTTAGCTGACCMAATCTGCTCCAATATACTGTAATAGAATTATATTTATTACAAAACTTATTTGAAAAGTTATTTACTATTGATGGTACTAACTGCCAGTAAAGCTGTGCTATTTTCATTCATCAGGCTGGAAGTCTGATTTTTAAAACACCAATAAATTTATTTCATCATGTTTTTTGTTAAAGAACAAATTACATTCACATTTGTAAAGCTGTAGAAACGGTATGTGGAAATAGTTTGCCTTCCTTATCCAGTTATGAATAAGTTATGAAGAACTTCTGAAACACACAAAAAAAAGAAAATCAATTTCACTGTTCTATTACAAGAGAAACATTCAAAAAAGGGTCTCATTCTATGGTTGACAAGTACTAACTAAAACCCTAGTCGTTACTAGATGTAACTTTGTGGTAGAGTGGGAGTGGAAATGGAGGAGGAAAACAAATTACCAGGAGGGAGGGAAGGAGACAGGGAGAGAACAGCATTTAGCTTTCTTTTAAGAAGTACCAGATGGTAAGTCATGGAATTGTAAGCATTAGACCACCTAGAATGTTCTAAGAAGTTGAAAATACTGGAAAAAGGAAAGGGGGGGGGGGGGGGGAAGGGAAAGGAGGACATTATTTATGATGAACAGTTATAAAGGAATAAAAGAGCTACCTAAAGATACCTAAGGAAAAGCAGTAGACAAATAATATCCACAGACTGAAAGGACATGGATGCAGATATCCTCACTGAATGCTGTGAGCAAGACTGAAAGGAAGAAATTACTCCAATATAAACCCTTTCCAAAAACACAGTTAAATGCCACTCCACAGACTGCCAACAGAAGAATGAATAGCAATATCATGCAAACCAAGCAGGGGAGAGAGCGAAGGACTAGCAGGAGTAGATGGATTTTGCCGTCTGAGGACAGTTCAGGCAATGGAATAAAAAAAAAATCCATTAGAAGAAGTGCAGTTAAATACAGATATTAACAACATCTTTTTAATTACAAGATCACTTGCAAATTATTTTAACAGTGCTAGATACATTGTATTGTCAGAAAAGGAATGGGAATGTTTATGTATTTTCTACCAGCAATTTCTATTTTGCTACACTGTTTCACTAAGCTTCCCTTAGTTCACGATGTACAGTGAGCTCTATATTTGGTGAAAATACCCAAATGTTCGCACATATCCACAGGTTCATCTTCTACATTAAGTAAATTATGTTTACTGACATCTGAAACCACTGAACCAAGACTTCAATTTTCATGCTTCTTAAAGGGATAAAATCTTCCTTGGAAGATATGTGACAACATCCCATGAAATAAAAATTAAAGTCATATTCCATCTTTCTTTTTAAGATTATTCAGTTYAACTGATGACATTTTTACTTATTCACTTTTGGTTGGTCTTTTGATAAAATGACTGGTGTGGCTGACCAGAGATGACTTTGGAAATGAAAGTCCAAATTGACAGGCATGTAGAACAATGGAAGATTTGATATATGATATGAAATCTTTGGCTGTGCTCAAMAAGACTAATGAGACTTCTCCAAAGCCACTTTTGTTCAAATAGTTCAGTAGATAATATATTTTACAATTTCAAAACAACAAACAGCAGGAAATATTCTATGTACCCAGTTTAAAGAAAAATAGYTACAGATTACAGGCTACAATTAGGTTCATAGTGCAATATACGTTAGAATTTAACACTAAAATAAGGAAGTTTATCTTGCAGGGTAAAAAAAAATCTCACTCAGAGTCTGAAATGTCCAAACCTGTTTCAGTAGTACTCTCGGATACAAAGAGACATGTATACATAGGACAAAATACGTGGCAAAGATCAGAAAACAAACTAAATTAAGCCTTAAATCTGTGCTTATATCATTATCTTATTTTCTCATTGATCTCCTGGAACGTTTCACAGTCAACGTTTCTTGTCAAATCAAGTGCAGTCCCTGACCACAACATCAGAGCAGGGGCACATATTTACAACTGAGTACATTGTAGGCATTATATAATCTTGTATTTCAATGGATGCTCATGAAAAAACTAACTTTTAATAACTTTTTCAAAAACAAACGGCGAAAAATTAATGTGTCAATTACAAAAAAAAAGAAAAAAAAGGAAAAAGGTCAACCAAATCATACTACTATCCAATAACTTCATCTCTGAGTGTCAAAGACACACACATATTTACTTAGGTTACAGATATGAGAAAAGGGTACAAGTAATAATGATTTTATCATTCCAGCTCAGAAGCTGGCATTTGAAAGGCTAATAAAACAATGACATATTGTGGAAGAATACTGATATTAAATAAAAAAGCAAGAAAAAGAAAACCTTCTACTTACACTCTTGCTTTTCCCGTGTGGATTACAGGTACTTTTGTTCATGGTGACTAGGTCTGAATCAGGAATGTTTTGGAAGTCAAAGGTGAGGTTTTATCCCTGGATCATCCAAATATCAGCTGCTATACTGAAAGGAAATTAATTTTGTATCATTAGCATGTAGGCCTCTGAAGTTATAAAACATTCAGGCATAAGACACTGAGTTATGTATAAAAGCTACAAAACATTCTAATATACACCAGAGCAAACATTTCATGTATCACTAAATCATTCAACACATAGCCACCCTGAACCACGCAGCACGCATATCTGTGAGCAGGTCATGTTTTCCAGTCAATAACAAATGCATTTCAACTCAAATAATTACAGAACATTACAGACTTCTTGCTACAGTTATATTTAACTAAATATTGGCAGCATTGTTTGTAACAACGAAATAAGGCTTATTGGATATTGGATCAGTCTAAGGGCATCTTTTATACTTGTATACCGGGCAGACCAGGATATATAGATTCACAGGGAGAAGGTCAGCTGGAGTAATTTTCAAATCCAGATGCCTAAGAATGCTTAAATCAGCAGTGGGGTACTTTCATACAGTCGTCAGAATTTGACAAACTGGTCTTTGTATTGTAACAATAACTAAGCAAAAAACCCTAGCAACTGACGATGGCATGGCGCTGCRGCTTTGAAAGGCAGCATTTGTCAGCCTCTGGCTACATGCATAGTTATACTCATGGAAGAGTAGAATTAAAGGGAAATTCAGATGCTATAAGATCAGACAGTTACAAGATTTATATCCTCATTTGATCCAGATACGTCTCTACATCTTTTTCCTCAGGTTGGCCAGCCAAAGATGAGAATAAAATGCAATTTCTGACTRATAGAGATGATACAGTAAAATCTCCTAATATAAAATAAATTATGTCAGCAAAAAGGAGTATCCATAAGAGTATCATCATATTACTTTTTCAGTGAACCTGAAAGTAAATAAATTGTTGCTCAATCTATTCCAGCAATATTCAAAAAACACAAAAGAAAGAAATATCTGATTAAACTAGATAAGTGCATTTAGACAAAAGTCATAGAAGTCAAATAAAATATCTCGAACTAGATATGAAAGTACAATTTTAGGGCTTTAACTCAGGAAAGCAGTAGTAGCAGGGTCAAATATTTCTTTCACATATTACCTGACTTTCTGTCTTATACTCTTTCAGGCATGTTTCCATGAACAACCATAATACATAAGTCCATATCACAGCCAGAAAGCAGAATAGCAGAGCTCTTAAAATCTTATCCTAAAGGAAAAAAATGCAGGCTGCAGGATGAAGTCTGAAGAGCTAGCTTCTTGTCCAGTGTACATTTAATTGAAGACACTGAAGAACATTCCCTAATCACTATTCTGTGGATGTAGAATTTATACATGACACCACAAGAAGAGATCTCATTGAGCAAGCCCAGAGGTAATTCCAGTCAGACTGGTGCCATTTATTATAACAGGCACATGAGTCATACAGACAGATGCCCTTCTTCCAGACCTTTCAAGCTTTCCAAGTTTTCATTAAAGTATTATGGATTTTATTCCTGTTGAACATGCTATGTCCAAAATATTAACCAAAGAAATAGTGCAAACAGAAGATACTCATATTGGGCTACAGGCAGAACAACATATATACACTTTTATTTCATCACCTTCATCATTAATAACAACTATTTATATACAAATGCTAAACACAACAAAGACTARCAAAACAGCTAGTGTCTTCAAACTGAAGATTTTTCTGATATTGCTTACCTTCTAAATTATAGCGGATAATGAAAATGTAAATGCTGAGCTGGTTGCTCAATTACATTTTTTTTTTATTTTTCTGAGCAGGAGATTAAGAGATGACAAAATCAATAAAAACAACTTGCCCTTTATAATCTGTTTCTAGCTCTAGTTTTCCTTACTCTTTCATATATTTTCAGGGTGTGAAGGTCCCTTGAGCAAAGTGGCATATTCACACAAAGCAAAGTATCATCAATCACTTCAGGTTCTAAGAATTTTAGAAAGAAAAMAATACTAGAGAAATATTGTAAGAGGAGGAATGAAAAACAAGAAAAAAATTCTGAGAGACTGCTTGAGCAGATTCTAAGGTAAATCAGGAGATTTAAGTTCTTGTGACATCTGGGATATTGTTTTTTTGTTTATTTGCATGTTTGTTTCTTTACAGAAGAAGCATATTTTCTTTAAATTGAGCTATAGAACATAATGAAATAATAGTTGCTGCACAATTTGAAGACTTGCACTCTTTCTGCTTGATAAATAGCTTTCTATTTAGCATTTCTTTAATTGTATTTAATTTTTTTAAACTCACTAGAATTTGCACAGGAATGCATTGAACTAGCTGGGAAACACTTATGCTGCTTCATCACGTATGACTTGACCTTGAATATTCTCAAGAGTTTAATGCTTATGTGCAATAGCTGTCCATCAACCCTCTAACAGGCATTTAGCAAACAGAAACTAAGGCRAAGACATTTTCTTCCATCAGGAGCTGACACTCTGCATGACTATACATATTGCATTTGCTCACTCTTATATACAGAGTAGAAGTCAGGTACCTATCTAAAACCTGAGAAAAGGGGTTTCAATATATCAGTGTAGAATGAAATTGTTTTGGGGAGCAGACTGCAGGCAGCTGGTAAGATTATTGTACTACTTTACTAAATCTGACTCTAGGGTCACCTGTGTCAGCATCACAGCTGTGTTTGACAACATTCAGCACTGGACTTAGGAGTTTTCTCCTCCTTTCTGATTAAGAACTATTCCAGTGTTATACTTAATCATTTGGAAATATTAATAATCTAGAGAGATTTCCAATGGCAGTTTGAGTTGCCAATCACTGCCTACAATCTTTCTATAAAGAAAGCAACAAAGATTTGAGACCTCCCTGTTGCCACTCAACATCCCTTTATGTGAGTGAGATTAAGAGCTCRTGCTGATTGTCCCCAACTTGTCTCTGTTTTTGAGCAGTTCTGGGCTGATAAGGTAGTAAAATTTCTTTCTGTTAAATAGATATTAAAAAAACCCACATCATCATACAGGATAGAGAGCTCTTGAATGATCTTCTGTTTCTCCAATCTGCTCTAAGAAAAATGCCATTTCTCTTAAAAATGTGTTGATTACAGACTTTAATCTCAGAGACAAGCAAAGCATGCTTATTTTACAACAGAGGATTAAGATCCAAAAGGCCTGAGCAGTATCTGCAGTGTATGACTCATATAGTGTCCAGAACCACTTCTAGAACACTTTAACATGTTTTGTATAATTTTAGTTAGAGTTGCTTCCCCAGCACAAGCACATACAAAGGAAAAAAAGAAAAAAAAAGAAAAAGAAAAAAAAGATAGAAAGAATGAAAAAAAGCAAAGAAAAAGAGCAGAGACACACTAATGAATCTGTTAAACTGCATTGAAGCAATTTTCAAAAGTAGCAATCTGTGTAAGGTCTAGACAACTGGAACAGATATGAAAGAAAGGCAAAAYCTTCATGAGTATGTGCTCTCTCCTATGCTAAGCAAGCCACGGTATTTTCCTAGTTATGACTGAGTAGGAAAAAACAGCTTGTACAGATAGGCTGATACATGAGAAATCTATTATTAAGAGAGAACGGTGTGAATAAACACTTGATATTCAAAGCCAAATATATTCCTATTATCATGCTACTGGTCTTTTATTTCTTTAAATATCTTGTGAAGCATAACCCAGAAATCAAACTTGCCTAATTAGACTAGCTTTTGCCTTCTTTAATTCAATAGGGTATATTTTCTATATAATTTGYTTCTCATTGTAGGCATTTTTCAAAACAAATTCAATATTCAAAGAGCATTTACACTCCTTTTGAAAAAAATYATAATTGGCATGAATATGAACATTCCACTTGACATTTGGCTAAATACAGAGCAAACAAGACCTTGAATGTCATACCAAAAAAGGCACTATATGAGTTTTGAAAAAAAAATAAAAACCTTATTTGTAAATTTCTACTTTTATTATATTATACGAATTTTAAAACACTACTATAAAAGCCAATGTTTTGAACCTATAAGGAAGATACATGGAGAAATATAATATATACAATATTTACATGTCTGAAGAGTACCTAAAAATGGCATTTATGCTTTTCAACTACACTGAATTAAAACATAACTGTTTTTATTTTAGTGCTTTTTTATTATTATTTCCTGTTCTGCAATAACCTTTTCTGTAGGCAGGAATGATATGTAAACAATCTCTCCAGTGGAGAAAATGGTAATTTTGACATTGATCCAGGTGACATCAAAATTTAAATTCAGGAGAATAAGCATAAACTCTTGTTATTCTGGAGGAGCACTTTTCTTTAATTTTTCAAAACAAAATAATATTTACCATTATTTTCTCTAACAGTAGTGCTGAATACTTGAACTGTCAGCCCTTGATTGTTAASCACTGTACTCTTTTTGGGAACATGGTGTAAGTTCCCAAGATGTTATTGAACAAAATTAAGTAACACTGGAGAATTACTTTTCCATATGCTTTTCCAARCAGCTGAAAAACGTGAAACACAAGTTATGGGAACAACTTTCCAGGAAACACTTGCAGGAAAAACTTACTCAAGAAGAATATATTTTCAGATATTTTTTGAAGACATCTGATTTTTGCTGTATACAACAAAAGTCTCAATGCCAGACAATTTGGAGAACTTGCTACTAGAAATATCATTAATCACAGGTATGCACTCGATAATGTGCCAGATTTTGAATAAAAAAGATGGAGTAAAATTACTGTAGCAGGTTAGAAAACACTAAGGAATTGCTATATTTCCTATTTCTTTCCTTGGATAAAGCCATAAAGCCTCATTTTTTGGACACAGGGAATACGATTTTAGCAGAACACAGCATGACCCCTAGACAGACACTTAAGTCCACTTAGTGCATTTTTTTTCAAGTGACTTCTATTCATCCCAGAGTAAGTGTCCAGCACTTACCCCAGAAAAATGCCTTGGAACAGATGGACAGAGACATGAAAGCTGGGGAAATGAGTCAGGCATTGCGGATGGAGCATGAAGAAGCAATTTGGGGTAAGAGTACTTCCACAAAATATATT